AACATAAAGCTGTCCATGGCTAAAAACCGAACTTGTAAGCATTAAACCAATCTGTTGAAATGTTTGACCTTGTGACTTATTAATAGTCATAGCAAATGCTAGTCGAATAGGAAACTGAGTTCTTGTAAAATAAAAAGGTAAAAAATTATCTATTGGTTGTAATTTAATTCTTGGTATTAAAACTCGTTGTCCAATAACACTTCCAGTTATAAGTTCACAATCTAAAACATGATCATGCATTCGTCTTATAATCATTCGTGTTCCATTACAAAGACCTTGATTAACATCAAGATTACGTAACAGCATAACAATAGCTCCTTGCTTGAGTATTAAATGATGTGGTGGTAGTCCATTTGGAGTAAGAGAATATAAAAATTCTTCTGGAAATTCAGTTGGATCTTCACCATGATCGCAAATTGCCTTATCAATACTTATATATATTTTTTCTTGTCCTTGTATTTTTTGAATTATTTCATAATTTATGTCAAGACTTATTTTATTCGTAGGACATAAAATTACAGTAGAAAGTAAAGCTGTTTCATTGTTATTTTCTAAAGCATTCTGAAAAACATCCGTTATCAAATTATTTGTTGAAATGCATTGTGCTGGAATTTCAATTTCATCATTAATTGTTGGAAGAGTTCCATTTCCAAGATTAAGAAGCCATTGTGCAAACGTTGTTTCATTTGAATTTGTTCTCATATTTTGTTGAAGCTGTAAAATAGTAAAATGTTTCCAAAGTTTAGAACTTTTAATACTTGCAGCAACACTTGTATCTCTTGATCCTTTTGGAATTATTGGTAGGACTTGTCTAAAATCGCCACCTAATACCATAATTTTTTCTCCAAATGGTTGATTAATTTGCATTATATCTCGAAGGCCAGCTTCAATTGTTTCTAATGCCTGACGAGAAGCCATTGGTGCTTCATCCCAAATAATAACTTTTGCTTTTCTTATTAATTCGGCATCTTTACTATTAGCAGATATTAATATACGTGAGTTTGTATCTAAAATTAATGGTAATTTGAAACGATGATGTACGGTAGTTGCTTTTGGTAATAAATTTGCTGCAATTCCAGTCCAAGCTACTGTTATTACTTCAAAATTAAGTTTATTTAACATATAGTATAGTTTTTTGTATAAAAATGTCTTTCCGGTTCCACCAGGTCCATCCACAAAAAAACATTTCTTGTTATTTTGTCTATTAACAGCAGCTATAATTTCATTGGCAATAAATCATTGTGCATTGTTTAGCATAGCATACATTTTTTCGCTGATATTATTTTCATGGTCTTTATCAATTTGTTCCATATAATTTAATTCACCGGTAGTTGTAAGAAATATACTAAAATCCTTTTCCAATGATTTTTGAAATTGTGCCAACTTTTTATTAATATCTTGATAAGTAAGAATCAAAGCAACTTCTGTACTATAACTACAAACTAAATCTTCATAAAGATGTTCCTTATATCGATTCCAAAGCAATGAAGGATTATTGATATTACCCCATACTAATATTGTTGTAAACAGTTGTCTTAATTCACTTGGCATTTTCCATTGAACTGCTTCGTCCAAACATTTGCTCCATTCATCATCATTATCTAATAGTTCTCTTATTAGAGCTGCTTCACGAAAAGAAGCATATATATAATTGTTGACAGTTCTAAGATCTTCGAAACTTTTAGCTCCAGGTGTATGCAAAAGTAATAATCGAAGACAAAATCGTTCCATATCTGATGGATAAACAGTATACATTCTACCAATAATTTTCTCAGTATGTTTTACAC